CAGGCACCCAGGAGCCAAACGCTGTCCTCCGCAGCATGGAGACTCTCCAGAACCTTATGGATGGCCCAGGCGAGCCCGATCTCACCAGATCTTGGAAGCGAAGCAGGGTCAGCCCTGGTTAGTACTGGGCTGGGAGACCACCAAGGAAGTCCAGGGTCGCTATGCAGAGGCAGGCTGCCTCTGAGCATGCCTTGCCTGGGAAACCCTACGTGGTAGTGATGAGTTAGCAGCAACTCGATGGCCCCGCCCACCTGCAAAGCCCCCCCCCCGTTGCTTCTTTGAGGGAGCCGCTCCGGGACGGCCAGAGAGAAGCTGGCCAGCTGTGCGGTCTTTTGCACGGTCACCCCTTTTCCTTCCCTCCCCACCAATGTTCCCTCTAAGCTATGGAGCCCTGTGAGCAAAAATTCTACTTTGTGAGCTACTGGCATTAAAGTTGTGAGCAGGAGATTTGGCTGCAGCACTGCACAAATCAGTTTGCCTTGGAGTCGTCCTTCCTGAGCAAAGGCAAAAAAAGTGTGTGAGCCGGAGGCTAAAGAACGGTGAGCTAGCTCACACAAACTCAGCTTAGAGGGAACACTGCTCCCCACAGCAGGAGCCTGTAAGCTCTAGGGCAGGGGTGGCCAAACTTGCTTAACTTAAGAGCCACAATAAACGTCAGATGTTTGAGAGCCGCGTAACAGGAACAAATATTGCACACAAGTGTTTTTTTTGGGGGGGAAATATGCAAATGTGCTTTTTTATTGATATTAAACGAGACTGCCAAAAATAAAAACGAAAGGGGTAAAAACATATTGATAATTATCTTTTATTTGTCCAGTGATATATAATTGTTTTCTAATGATATTTGTCTAAGACAGTGATGGCAAACCTTTTAGAGACCGAGGGCCCAAACTGCGACCCAAAACCCACGTATTGATCGCAAAGTGCCAACACGGCAATTGAACCTGAATACTGAGGTTTTACTTTAGAAAAAACAACTCATACATCAACTTAAGATGATCCAAAGAAAGTAAGGAAAGCAATCCAAATGCTTTCATTGACTTAAAATTATTTGGCAGAGAATTCGACACTTT